TAACATTCTAATAATAATTTTACCGTTATATATTTACTCTATTAAAATTTATAGATTTTAACAAAATTTTTAAAAATGTAGTAAGGAGATAAAATATAGGAAGAAGATTATAGGTATATGAAAACTACACTGCAATAGAAAATAAGATAAGATTATTGCTAAAAAATATACAGTACTATATTATACAGTCAAACCTCGATAACTCGAATCGCAATCAACTAGAAAAATTGTTTGATTTATAGAGTTTTCAATTTATCGAAATTCGAGTAAAAGAGGGTTTACGTATGAAAACTCGACTTACGGAGGCTTTGTAAGAGAGTTTATAATTTTCCAATTATAATGGCTTTTAAAGGAAAAAAATCAATATTTAACAGTAATTATTTATTGCATACATATGATAAATGTAACCATAAAACAAAATACCAGGCTGTTACTCACGGTTACACATAGCCACAACTTCGAATTATAGAGGTAGCGACAATGGAAGTTTGACTTATAGAGGTGAATTTCGACTTGAAGAGGTTTGGCTACTTTAAATCTAAGTTACAGAGGTAAAATATATATCTAAATGCCTGACAAATAATTCGAGTTAAGGTAGGTTTTATTTCGATTTATGTTTTCCGTAGCGGAGCGGAAGGGGATAAACAAAATTTTCGTCTTATAGAGATTTTCGAGTTGTAGAAGTTCGAGTTATCGAGGTCCGACTGTATAATATTTATTAATTCTTGAAATTTCTTTCTTCTGCAACTAAATTTTATATATGTAGTAATCTGATATTGCTACTTTTAATCTAGTTTGTAAATTATTGTAAATTTGTTTTTTTGTGTAACAGCATTAACGAATAATATAATCTCAAGTGATTCTTAAGTTCTTTTAAAGGTATAATTGAATGATTTCTACCGCGATGCATTAATTGTAATGTGACTGTTCAAATTATAATTATTATTTAATAAATTTAATGCGTAAAAAAAATACAATATAATTTTTTTGCAAATATCTCGATCACGTTCAAGGAAGTTGTCAACAGTTGAAATTGTGATATTATTTTTTTTTATAGTACA